ACTCCCTCCGCCCCGCCCCCCTCCCCCCAAATCCCTATTAGTAAAAAGATGTTTTCCCAGTGGGTCCCTGGGTGGGATGGTGGTTCCAGTCCTGGAAGGGGGCTCTTGGTGTCTAGCCTGCTCAGTTGCCTCAGGCTTAAAGATCCTTGGCCTCCTCAGAGTGTCAACCTCATTGGCCAGCAGATTTATCCAACCCATCGGGAGCCTTCCAAGGGGCGAGACTGGCCGAGGGTGTCCAGCAGGTCAGGGTGTGGGGACGGGACCGACTGCCAGGCCAGGCACGTGCTCGCGGGGGCGTGAGGCCACACTTCGCGGCGGAGGCCGTCGTGGACAGCGGCAGCGGCAGTGGAGACGGCGGCCGTCTACGGCGTGTCCGCCGTGTGCCGTGCGCCGAGTCAGCGTCTCGGGTGTGGGATCTGTGCCGTCACGTGGGCCTGCACTCAGTTTAATCCTCTGCTGTCGCCGTCTTGAAATTCTTAATAACTTTTGAACGAGGGCCGTGTCTTCATCTTGCACTGGGCTCTGCAAGTTCTGTAGCCAGGCCCAGCCGCGCGTCACCCCGGTGACCTGAGCGGTGGAAGTTATCGCTCCACTTGACAGCCGAGGAAGCTGAGGTGCGGAGAGGTGAAGAGGTGGGTGCCGGCGAGCCTGCGTTGGAGCACGTGCCTGTGACTGCAGAGCTTGTGTCACTGGCAGTGCTGGTCGTTGGAGATTGCCATATGAAGGGTCTGGCAATGGCGGGCTCCCCAGATGGGCCCTGAAGGGTGCTGGCTTCTGGGCAGGCTGGGTGGTCAGAGAGCCCAGTGTGTGGTCTTCCAGCCTCGTCCCCAAGGCCCCTGGTCACTCCGAGGATGGAGCGTGTGGCCCTGGCCCATCCTCCCCCCTCTCCTAGCCTCAGTCTCTCTTTCGTGCACAGCCGGGGAATTCTGGGCCTCTGGCATGGTGATGTCTGCGTAACAGCCTCCGTGCTCGTTGGTGTTGACCTTGCTCTGTCTCTCTCCCCGCAGCTGTTGACCTCAGGCCAGAGGCAGCTGCTCCTCTGCGAGACACTGACGGAGACGGTGTATGGTGACCGCGGGCAGTTGATCAAGTCCAAGGAGCGCAGAGTCTTCCTGCTCAATGACATGCTGGTCTGTGCCAACATCAACTTCAAGTAAGTGGGCCTGGGCCATCGCCCCTCCTTGAGGACACATTCCTGTCCTAGCCCAGTCCCTCAGCCGACCTCTCTGTGACAGGGTCCCCTGTGAGCTCAGCGAGGTCTCTGATATTCCGGCTTATTTTCCCTTCCCTCTTGGCCTGCTCTGTCCCTGGTCCTCAGAGGCACTTAGAGAGGTCATTGGGGGCCACCCCCAGCCTTTTGGCAGGCAGCTGTCCATTGTACAGAGTGGTCTGTTCTGGGACTTTACCATCGGTAACTGAACAGTCTCCTGAGTTTTGCCCACTGTGAAAGTCAAGAGATTCTCCCTTGTGTCCAACCCAAATCCCTGCTGTTAATTCACACTGATTTTCCTTCGGTCGGATCTCGGTGCTTCATGGCGTGAGTCCGTGCCTTTCTCCCCACTGCCCAGAGCATCTTCTCCTTCAGGAGCCTGGTCTCCTGATTCTGGGTCAGAAGTTGTAGAGATGCTCAGAGCCAGGCTGCCAGGCTGTCACTGAGTCAGAGGTCTGGACGGGATGAGGGTGACTCTTTAGACCGGAGTCAGCAAACCCGTGGCCCAGGGGTCACACTGGCCTCCGGGAATCTCGTTTGGCTCTCACAGGGAGTTCACACGGAGATGGAGACATTCGATTTCTCTTGAAAATGTGAAGATCCCACGTCTGGACCCATGATGCTCTGGGTCTCATGGGCCTGGAGTGGGGTCACATGTCTACTTTACTGGGGCTCATGCTCTGCTGTCCTTCACTGCCTCCAGTGGCGGTTCACTCACCCATGTCCCTTGCTTGGCCCTGTAGGGGACTGTGACCCTTTGCCAAAGAGACTCCAGCTGGGGCCTTCCCAGCCGGGCTCTTCTACACGCGAGTGGAGGAGAATTTCTGTTCTCCGTATTTAATGGCACTTTAAAAAAACATCATGGAAACAACAGTGACAACAATAACCAGGGTCCAAGGTGGGGAGTGGTCACCCTAGTCCGGTGTTAACCCCAGCCTGGCTCTCCTATCGCTGGCTGGGGCACACGTCGGGTCGGGGCGCCTGGGAGCCTGACTTAGACTCTGCACCCAGAGTCGGCTGTGCGTTCCTGCCCACGACCACAGCCACCGCCACGGACAAGAGTCGGGATGGTCTGTGCTTGTGGATCCTGTGTCCTGGAAGGGGAGCCAGCAGGGTTGTTCGGGGACTTCTACACTATTTATTGTGCCCTTACTCTGTGCCAGTTTACAGGTCTGGACAAGACCTGGCCCTGGTAGGGGACTCGGGCAAGGAAGCCTCTGTCCCAGATTAGTGTGGCGGTGCTTATGGCTCATTCATTTACTCTCTTACTCATTCAAGCACCATATCTGATTGACACTCCCCTTTCTGCCTGCCTGTTGCTCAGGGCGTAGCATAGTGTGATGAGGAGGATGCTAGTGGCCCACTTTCAGGAGATTGGTTTGGGAGATTTGGGGTGAGTCACATGATCTATCTATCACTGTCCTTGTCCAGAATAATACAGACTTCTTAGAAGAGCCATTGTGGGAATCGGGTGATGGAAGGCTGGTGCCCAGCCTAGGAAGAGGCCCTGCGTGTGGTCCCTTCTGCCCATACCTGACCCAGTCCAGTGGCTGGCCCCCAGCGGTCTCAGCCCCTGTAGAAATCACTCAGCGTAGTAATGACCTTCCTTCTTGTCTTTTTCTTTAGGCCTGCCAACCACAGGTAGGAGCTTGGGGGCATCAGGGGGCATGCGATTCTGGATCAGGGGTTGGGGCCTAGGCTCTTGGTGCTTCTGCCACATGGATGGCTCCCTGCCCTGTCTGGCTTGGTTTTGGCCTGAGGTCTTGCCCCTTGGCTGTGAGGTGCCTGGCTGAGCTGGTGTGCTGAGGAGCGCGCTCTGGGCTGGCCCTGGGGCTGGGATGCTGCAGGCTCTCCAGGCCTTGTCTTCTGTCCCGGCAGGGGCCAGCTGGAGATCAGCAGCCTGGTGCCCCTGGGGCCCAAGTACGTGGTGAAGTGGAACACGGCGCTGCCCCAGGTGCAGGTGGTGGAGGTGGGCCAGGAGGGAGGCTCCTACGACAAGGACAACGTGCTCATCCAGCATGCTGGTGCCAAGAAGGCCTCTGCCGCGGGCCAGGCCCAGAGTGAGTACCTGCCCGGCTGCCGCCTGGGAGCAGCTGCCCAGGCTCGAGGGCCCATCCGGGGATCCCCGGGCTGACGGGCCCCTTGGCTGAGAGTCTGAGAGGCTCTTGCTAGCTTGCAGCCCTACACTGCACACAAACGCACACCTGTAACCCCACCTGCACATGCACACACATATCCTGCACAATCACACCTCCGCCTCACACACTGGACAGGTGCCCACTGCCCCCCTATACTAGCCCTATATGCCACCGTGCACGTACATATGTACACACATGCACGCACAGGTGCATCTGAGTCAGAACGTGTGACTTCCAGTCCTTGCCTGGCCGGCCATTGCCTGCCTCCCTGTGTGACATCAGCAGGTGTCACCTTTCTGTGCCTCAGTTTGCCTCTCTGGACTGTAAGGGGCCCAGGTAACACTTACCCTGCCCCCTACAGCCTTAGGGACCAGGCACAGGGCTGTCTGGATCCTCCTTCTCCTATCCTGACTAACCCCTCAGACTTTGTGGGACATGAGGATGACAACTCTGGGGTGACACTTGGTGGCCTCTGTCTTTGTCCACTTCTCTCCATCTTCGTGGTAGCTGCCGCCACTTAGCTCAGTGCTGTTGTCGTAGCTTCCTGGCTGCTGTTCTGCCCTCCACCCATCCCCAGAGCTAACTTTTCAAAACGCAGCTCAGATCTGTGTGCGTCACCCAGTACCCTGAAATCTACCAGGGACTTCCCCTCGCTCTCAGGATAAAGTCCCAGGTTCTCACTCCAGCCCACACGCCCCTCCTGGGGGTGTCCTCCCACTGCCCCTCCTTAGCCCACTCTGCCCCCTCACTCTCTGGGCTTGGCCACACTGGCCTCTTGGTTCAGAGGAGGGGGTGAACCTCCTCCTGCCCCCGAGCCTTCTTCTGCCTCTCCCTTTTCCAAGAGCTGGCTCCTACTGCCCTGTTTATCTACGTGCCTTTGCGCATCCTAGCTCAGATGGCACTCCCTCAGGAAGCCTTTTCTGATTCCTTCGGACCGGGCCAGGTACCCCACCCACCCCCTACTCTCAAGGCCAGTTATATCGGTGGCCAGTTGTGTCGGTTGCCGTCTCTTTTCTTGGCATCACTGCAGCTCTGCCTGGAGCTGGATCGAGGCAAGTGCTAACAATCGTTTGTTGAACAGACGCGGGATGCTGGACGGCAGAGCTATCGGAAAGCAGTGCTTAGCCGGAAGCGCCTTCCACAGGCCGGGAAGGCGCTGGGCTGCACTTCCCACTGGCTGGGCTCTGGGCTCTGTCCATCGCCTGGCCCTGGGGGTTGCCTCACGGGCCGTCAGCAGTTCTGGGCACTCCGAGGGAGCGATTGCATCATGCGGTCTTGCCCTTGGAGGGCCGGGCTGCACAGCTGCGCCCACGTCCAGATGCTGCGTCTCTTTCCCCTGGTCTGTGAGACAGGAAGGGCTGATTTGTGTTCCAACTCTCTGTTTCCAGAAGCCTCCCTGGGAAGGGCTCTTCAGGGCCTCTTTCAGCCCTAGCTTGACCCCCTTCCCCCACCACTTGGCCCTCACTCTGGGACCCCTCCTTCAACGACTACGGCTGCATTCTTGAAACAAGAGTAATATGCTGCCAGACCCCCCCTTAAAGGGGAAAAAGAAATTCTCATTGAACCTTGCTTGGCCTTGAATGATTTTTTTTATTATATTGTTATTCAAATGTGTGCAAATATAAGACTAGGTATAATAGATGCCTTATGCTCACACCCCTTGAACAACCATAAAACCAAAACAAAATCACAAATGGGATAAAAGTGAAGCTACAACACAGTAAAATTCAAATGAACAGCATTAATTTCGTGTGATGGATGGTATTGTTTTGCTGGAACCAAATGGCTCACAATATGGCTGTGGACCTCTTATGGGGCAGGTTTTTTTGAGGTCTCTGTGCCCATACCATGGGGTGCCTCATGGTGACCCACATTGCCCACCAGCTCCCCTGCAGAGCCCGTCTTTGTTCTTCATTCGGTGTGAACTTACCACTTACCTCTCTGTCCACCTCGCTCCTTGCTCCTTACTGGCGCCATTCAAGTGGCCCTGCTCACGTGGCTTTAAAGTCATTATATCCAGGATTCAGGATGTGCATCGGTTCTTTTAGATAATCATCTAAAGCAGAAGTCCTCAACCCTTGGGCCGGACTGGTACCAGTCTGCGTCACAGCAGGAGGTGAGCGGCAGGCGAGCAAGCAAAGCTTCGTCTGGATCTGCAGCCGCTCCCCAGAGCTGGCATCACTGCCTCAGCTCCACCTCAGATCATCAGGCATTAGATGCTCATAGGGTCACCGGTCCCTGGTGCCAAAAAGTTTGGGGGCCGCTAGCTTTCTCCCACCCTGGGATTCCATAAGACCTCAGCTTGAGAAACCAGGGTGTGGAGAATACAGCCCAGATGCCCCAGCGTGGCATTTAAGGACTTCCCCATCCAGCGGATCCCTCCTGCTCGATCTCTTGCTATCCCATCTCTCATGCCCCCAACCCTTCATCCGTATCATCAGCAGAGATCTGGACATCTTCACACCCCATCGCTGCCCCATCACCCCGATAACTTTCCCCCAGTACCTTCCACCGTCTGTGGTTGTGATTCACTGCTCCCCCGCACTTCCTCTCCTTCCCCTAGGGAGTGGGGGCCCTGTCTGTCTTGTTCACATCCGTCTCTCCAACATCTGGAATAGAACCTGGCACATAGTAGGTCGTCAGTAAGGTCTTGAGCAGCTTGCTGTTCACGGGCTTCCCCAAGCCGTGGTGCCTCTGCACATGCTGTGCTCCTTTTGGGCAGTGCCCACCGTTCTCCTGGCTCCGTGAAGGCTCCTCATCTCTTGCAGGCACAGTTGGTTCTCAGTCTTCTAGTCTCTTTTGACCCTTTGTATAGACCGAGTGTGGCCTGGATCACAAGTGTTAGGGACTTTACCTGTGATTGGATCTGTCCCCCCAGTAGACAGCAGTTTGGTGATGTTTCCTTCTGTAGCTCTGGTGCCATACCCAAGGAGCGGCAGCTCTCCTTTGCAGTGAGTTGTGTGCTTGGCTTCTCATCGGCACCCTCCCCACCCCTCAGGCTGACCTGGGTCTCTGTCTATCCAGATAAGGTGTACTTCGGCCCCCCGCGACTCTTCCAGGAGCTGCAGGACCTGCAGAAGGACCTGGCCGTGGTAGAGCAGATCACCCTCCTCATCAGCACGCTGCATGGCACCTACCAGGTACGCTTGGTGGGGCTCCAGGCTCCTCCCTGTGGGCAGTGCCCAGACTCAGCAGACAGAGTCGGGGGTTACTCTCCTGGCCAGTCCCCAGACGTGGCTTTGGCTCTGAGCTCCCACAAGCAGCAGGAGCGGCAAAGCTCCCTGTTGCTGCCTGGAAGTCTGGTGAGCGGCCTCTGGTTCGGGTTTAGTGGGGCCTGGCTGTGGGGCTTTTCTTTGTTGTTGCTGTTTGCATGGTGGCCTTGTAGCCCCTTCCTGGCCTTGCTCCATGCTGGAGAGGAAGCCTGCTGGGAGGGTGTATTCCTCTCAAAGGTGGGGTCTGGACCAGGGGACGGCATTCTGCCCACAGCCCATAGCAAGCTTCCAGGCTGGGCTCCAGGACTTCTCCCCAGTTCCTCTCCCCTGGGGCACCTTGACTGCTGCAGGGATCTGGTGTGGCTTTCGGGGTGTCAGCAGGCTGTGCGGTGACCTCATTGGCCTCCTCAACCCTAGAACTTGAACATGACCGTGGCTCAGGACTGGTGCCTGGCTCTGCAGAGGCTGATGCGGGTGAAGGAGGAGGAGATCCACTCGGCCAACAAGTGCCGCCTCAGGCTCCTGCTTCCTGGGAAACCCGACAAGTGAGAGGCGGGCGGCGGGCGGGGGTGGGGGGGCACTGGTGGAGTGGTGAGGCTTGAACAGGGCACCTAGAGCTGTCTCACTCGTCAGTACTGCTGCGATGTTGGCGTGTATGCACTGTGGGCCAAGCCCAACACAGCATTCGGCACGGAGTAGGTGCTCGTAGACAAAATGAATGAATGACAAACAAATACTTTTTCACCTGGGGTAAGCCCATCCTCTGTTAGGGTACTCGGACACCGTGCTGATGGTTGGTTCCATTTACACTGTGTCCTTTTCACTCACATCAGACTGTGTAGTCCCCTGGGACTAGGCCCTGGGTCTCCTCTCATAGACCCAGCCTCCCCCCAGCACTGCCCCTGTCCCCTAATGCCCACACAGCAGCTCGTGCTCAGTTGACCCTGGGCTGATGTTTGTGGAATGGATGACAACCCGGCGGAGATGGGGAAAGCTGTCTCTCGGATCCTCCCCCAGCTCTGTAAAGTTGATATTATTACCCCATTTTACAGATGAGAAAGGTGAGGCTCAGAGAGTTACATGACAAGCCCAAGGCCGCGTGGTGAGAGGTAGAGCTGGGTGCCCAGAGGTCTAACTGTGAAGCCTAGGCTGGTGCAGGGATGGGCTCAGAGCCCAGGTTTTGACCTCCTGAGTGGGGGGCTGTGGGGGATCGAGTGGCACAGGCACAGTGGCTGCAGGGAAAGGAGGACCAGAGCACTGTTGTTTGAGGCAGGGCCTGAGCCCGGGGCGCGAGGCTCAGGACTCGAGGCTGAGGGTCTGCAGTGTTGACCTCTAACCAGATTTGTCACTGACCTACTGAGTGGCCTCACATGGCTCCCTTCCCCATACACCAGAGGGTTAGTGACCTGGTCCTGCCCACCTCCTGGGGGCTGGGATGGCCCGTGGTGGGGAACAAGCCCCTGCTGCTCCGAGGTGACAGGCAGTGTGGTGACAACAGTGACTTTCGGCTGCCTCTGGCCTATACACAACCCCATTCACTCCTTTCTTCCTTCATCCGTGTGTCCATTCAGCAAACATTTACCAGGCAACTGCCCCGTGCCAAGTGCTGGGAACAGACCTGCTGGAGACCCATTCCTCCCTGTAGCTGCTTCTGGTTAGACACGTACAGGTGTCTGACCAGGCCCACGGAAAGCTGACCAGATGGAGCCCCGGAAGGGCCTCTTGAGTTGCAGCCTAAGAGGGCCGGATACCTCTGGCTTTGCTAGGCACCCAGGCCGAGGCACCTGGGGCCAAGCCGGGGAGTGTGGCCTGGTCACTCCGGGGGAGGTGCCTCCCTCCTGGGGCCATGGTGGGTGGAGGGACTCATCTCCCAGGGGCCTGAGGCTTTGCCGGGTGTGCCACCAGCTTCTCTGGCCATGCTGTGATGGTCTGAACAGACCTCGGTTGATCTCCGGGGTATGTGGGTTGAGTGGGGAGCTGGGTGCTGGCCCTTGTTCTGGGCACTCACACTCCTCTCCCTCCTTGCCACAGGTCTGGCCGCCCCATCAGCTTCATGGTGGTCTTTATCACCCCCAACCCCCTGAGCAAGATCTCCTGGGTCAATAGGTTGCACTTGGCCAAGATTGGACTCCGTGAGTAAAGAGCCCCAAGAGAAGCATCTAAGGGGGCAGGGGTGGGAGAGGGGCGGTTTGGGGTGTGCATGTGTGCGTGCATGGGGGCCATCCAGGCTCACGGGAGGCCCCTTAGTTGGGAGGTAGTGCAGTGGAGCAACAGCTGGAGCCGGGGTTCTGAGTCCTGAGACTCTGCTCAGTGACCTTGGACAAGTCACTTCCCCTTTCTGAGCCTCAGTTTCCCCATCTGTAAAGTAATGGGTATTGACAGAAAGTAAGTCGCTGGTTGCCAGGGACCTGAGGCGGGAGGAGGGGTGGGGGGGGTGAAGAGAAGAGGGACCGTTGAGTTTTTTATTTTTTTTGGTGGGAGTGATAAAAATGTTCTCAAATTAGATCGTGGTGATAGTTGCCCAACTCTGAATGTACCAGAAACCAGTGAAGTGTATGCTTTAAAAGGGTGGGTTTTACGGTAGCTCATTTATGTCACAGCAAAGCTGTTACCAAAAAGCCACGCAGGTTCGACTAAACTGATTTTTATCCAAGGATCTCCGTGTGATTCTTCTCCTCCTGTGTACCCCCTAATAACAATACAGATAATAACAAGCATCGTATTTACAGAGTGCTTCCTGTGTGCAAGCATTTTTCTGAGCATTTTACCCACCTCTTTTATTTCGTATTCACAATAGCTCTAAGAGGGTGATCTGTTGTGAACCCCTTTTTC